AAGTTTTTAATAAAATATGCTCTTTAACATGCGATTAGAACAGTCTAAAAATAAAGAAAAATATGGGTCAGAACAAAAAAAAAAGATGATAAAAAGAACTTCATTAAATGGCGTAATAACTCATAATCATAGCATATATATGTCACATAGAAGGAACGACAGAACAAAGAAAAGAAAAGTCGTAGTTCTTTAATCATCTTTTTCTTCTTCTTCTTTTATATCAGGTTGGTCCGGTGACAGACGAAGATTCATCTGTAAGTTCTAATACAGATAATATTCAGCAACAACATTATCGTCTTCAATTACTTGCTCAAGCTATTGAAAAGGTCGAAAATGAGAGCTCAAAAAAGAAACTTCTTGTTTCATCACCACCAATTACTTCCAAAAATGAAGAACAGGAATTAATAATGAAAATACTTTCTCAACAAAATGTTGCAGCTGCAATGGCTGCAGCTGCGGCGGCTCATTTGCAAGTTCAACAACAACATCAACATCATCATCATCAACAACAACAACGAAAGCTTGAACCTATATCACCACCATCAACATCATCAGCATCATCAACACCTGAAAGTCCAATCGATTTTTCTTCACATCGTTCAACTGATGATAATAATGATTGTTCAACACCATCATCACCATTACCCAATCAACAATTACTTTCAACAATGTTACAAAATCTTCAATCAACATTACCATCATCAACATTTCCATTTTCATTAACAAATAAAAATGGTAAACCAACACGACCATTTAAAGCATATCCACGTGAACCATTAATGTTACCACTTGGTTTCTATTCATCTACAACAGCGGAACAAACAAATATACTTGCGGAAGCAGCAAGTCGTACAACACCAAATCGTAAACGACTTGCACAAACACAAGAACGTCTTAAACAACGTTTACAGCAACAACAACAACAACAACAGCAACAACAACAATCTTATTTTATCTCATCATCTGGCACACAGATATTACAACCACCAAAAAAACGACATCGACCCATAGAAAGTACATCAATTTCTGATGATAATGCAATAAATGAAAACAATAATAATAACACTAATAATAATTCATCATCATCATCAGCAGATTCGCTAATTAATAATGAGGACCCAAATTTAATTAAAGATGATGCTTATTGGGAACGAAGAAGAAAAAATAATGAAGCTGCTAAACGAAGTCGTGATGCACGACGTGCTAAAGAAGATGAAATTGCAATAAGGTAAATATTAAATCAATTATTTAATTTCAGAAATATTCAAACTAATTATCTTTTTTTGTGTTTTTTTTAGAGCAGCTATTTTAGAACAAGAAAATATCAAATTACGCCTTGAAGTATCACAATTAAAACAAGAAACAGCTAAATTACGATGTATGGTTTATGCTACATCATAGTCATTAATATATCATCTCCGTGTGTAGATCTCTCGGTGATGTTTTGGTTAATCACTAATTCCTTGTAAAATGTTAAAAGTATTCATTTCATTTCTTTTCTTATTCATCGAGTTCATAAATTTTTATCTCTGCAAAGCAGTCGTTAAATACATATTGTAGAGCCGAGCTTGATCATATGTATTTATTTATCTATTTGTACTGCTTTATTTTTCAAGAGAGAGAAATTTTCTTTTTTTCGTCTTCTTCATTTCTTTTGCTGTGTATCAGTGGCCATCTTTTTTTTGTGTTTTGTTTCTATAATCGCTGATGATATATTTGATTTGCTTCATTTCATGACATTATATATGTTTGTGTTTTAGTTCTTCCCTCATTTTGTTTCGCGTGCTTCACATTTAGTTTTCTCTTTTTCTTTTTTTTTACGCAATATCTGCTGCGCTGTTGTTAATTTTACTGCTGCTGCCGCTGCTGCTTTTTTCTTGATTTAGATTTGATTAGAATCAACTATGTATATGTGTTTGTGTCATATTCATTTTTCTTTTGTTTTGTTTATTGTCTTTTAAGTGTATACAAAATCTCATTGAATGTGTTTATGTATTGATACTGATGGTTTTCTTTTTGTCATATTCTAATAGACAACTTCTCGAAAACAAAAAAAACATTCTGCTACTGATTCTTAGCTATGTGAAAATGAACATCATTGAGTTATTAGATAAAACTATATGTCATATGTTACTTTTTCTATCTTCATTAGAGTCAGTAAGAATGACATATTATTAGAAAATGAAGAAAAATAAAGTAGTAGACAAATTGAATAATTGATAATTATTTTCTTAAGTACAATGTCAATGTAATCTTTAAGATATTTTTATACTTTGAACATAATAAGAGAAAATTCTTGTCGCATATATAATTCTACTTTCCGTTCTAGTAACAATATTTTTCATTTGTCTATCAGTTGAGAAAAAAAAGAAAATGTTTTTGCTAACTTACTTCAGAAGTGTAATGAGATGTTAATTAATTTCTCAATATTAATAAGATTTATATCATATGATATTATCAGTGTCGCAGTTATTTTTATGTCAATAACTATTTACATTTCTCATTGCTAAAAGGTTATGTTATGCGTAACAGACGTCAACAAATATTGCCTCTAAGTTTTGGATACTATATCTTAGTCTCTCGGATAATTCGAACGCCTTGAGAAAGTGATTAATAATTAATCAACTAAACTGATCTTCATTTGACAAATTTTTTTTTGTTCTGTTGCAGTTAAAAATAACATTATTCAATGAGAAAATAAGTACACATGTTTCTAAGTGCTTCTCGAATAACTTTTCAAAGAGAAGAGAACTTAGAAAAAGCTTTTGCATAGTAACATTGTAAATATATTCGCTAATTCAATTTAACATCATCTGAATTTCTATCGAAATATTAATCAATAACATAAAAACATGTATTGAGTTCTATTTTGAGAATATGATTAGATAATTCTTTGACAGATATAAGATAGAATTCGATTATCTTTTTCTTTTATCAAGAAAAAAAAGAAAATTCTATGATGCGAAAACAAAAGTTCAGAGTGATCTTATTCAATAGTTCTTACACTAACGAATCACTTAGAAATAACATCCAATGAAAATTTAATCATAACAAATTTGTATTTCGAAGATTATCATATGTTCTAACGATTTGATAAAATATGACCTTTTGTTCATTAGTGTCATTTATCATTTTTTATTCGTACATTTAATTCCGTTTTATTATAAATAATGATGATAATGGTGTAAAGATTATAGTTATTGAAATAAACATCCGTTATATTTGAACTTTAAAGATTAAAATAATATGTAATACCTTTTAAAACAATATAGAGAGAAAATTTTTTTCCATGTTGCAATTCAATCCCATCGATTGTAATCACTTCACACTAATGTGTGACAAGATCACTCAATATTACTCAATGATTATTTCATCGGATCATATAACACATGATAATGATTTGAAAATTAAAAGAATAGACGTCATACATATATAAGTGTACTTTTCTCTCTTCTTTTTTTTCCAAATATCAAATATTTGAAAAGATCTAAAGAAGTGTTGAAACATCAAACGAAACAAATTGACAAAGAATTAGAAGTGGATTATGCCGAAGATTGCTCCACCTTTCCGAAGATTAAAATTGAATAATAATATAACAGGGACGACCGGCCGCATTGCCCTCCTAAATCCGCCACTGGATTCTAGATAAACTAGAATACTCTTCAGACCATTATCGCGAATTAGTTTGAAATGTATTCTTTTAGTAATTTTGTTTATTCAATTAACCAGACATTTTCTCATTGATATAATCAAGATATGTCTTTCTCTCACACTCTAAGTATAGCCTATTGAATGATCAGTGACCTATGCATATACACAACATCGATTGAATCGATTTTCTTTTCCCTGGTATATATTATTCGTTTTCTTATTCACATCGATCACCAAAGAGCTCAAGCTGTGTTATTTAATCTTCTCATTTTTGTTCACACATAATATGACCTTGAGTATATTGAATACGCCGATGGTCAAATATTTTCTCTTCCTATCGAGAGAACGAGAGAGAGAAAAGGAAAAAAAGAATATTGACCTCACTATTCATCCTCCTAATCAACAGGGGTCAGCAATCGTTTGCTTCATTACTCTCATACGAAAAGAACCGTTAGATCGATTTTACGTAATCAATTTTCGTTTTGAAAAAAAAATAACAAAATAGACTATGACAATATCTATCGTTTCCTATAATCGCCGCAGGTGATGATTCAATATGTTATATAATCATATGTGAGCATATTAGATCGATAGCAGCGAAAGAAAGATTAAATCATTGAACTAATGACGAAAAAGAAAATCACAGTATGTTCCATATGAAAATAGAGAAAAGGAGAAAAAGAGCGAGAGAGAGAAAAAGAGAAATATAGAGAACGATATCAGAATGTACATATATTCTCTATTCGGTGATCAATGATCAAACTGAATAGTTGATGGTATGTTTTCCTCAATAGAATGTGTGAATTTTTTCAATGAGTTATTAAACTTTTTCATTACTCAGATGAAAATCAATTGCTTATAGAAATTTTTATTTATTTTAAGATTCCATCGATCGCATCTCGGCTGGATATATTAGCCGATATGGCTGATCAAATGGAACAAAATGAAGAAAATACAAATGTAAATCCACAACAATTATTTTTACAATATTTATTTCAATCATTACAAAAACAACAACAGCAACAACAAAAACAAACTGATGAACCCATTGATTTTTCTACTAAAATAACTGAACAATCTTCCTTATCCATCCAAAATAAACATAATCAAGTCACACATCCATTTAGTTCTTATTTATCATCAATATCAGATAATTCAAATACAGATATTTTAAAACAATTTAACAGACATAAACAAGATCTATCTATTCCATTGAAGAAACGTAGCAGATCAAATACATCAACACCACCACCACTAATTGATACAAATCCAAATAGTAGTTATTCCGAACGACGAAAAAAAAATAATGAAGCTGCTAAACGTAGTCGTGATGCACGACGTATTAAAGAAGATGAAATTGCAATACGGTAAATCGAAATTAATTCTTGTTATGATTTATAAAAGAAATAATTCTGTTTTTTAGAGCTACTTGGCTTGAACAAGAAAATCTTAAACTTCGACTTGAAAATGCACAATTAAAACAAGAAAATGTTCAACTTCGTTGTAAAATTTATAATTCAAATGAATCTTAAGTTTGATTTTCGTTTTTTTTTGTTTTGCTTGCATATAGTTATTATTTCTTTCCGTTTCGTTTCTTTTCTTTTTTGCCGTGAATTCAAATTGTTCATGCCATAATGAGATATCATCTGTCTCGTGTATTTAAAAAGAATTGCAAATAAATCTAACGAAAAAATAATTATTTGATGTTTATTCATGCATAAAAAAGTCTTTTATAATCATAATCATCTGTTCAAAAAATTTTCAAATCAAATCATCGGCATCATTTTAAGACAAGCCTTCGTCTATGATGTGAAAATAAACTGTACTCAACATTGATTGAAACGATCAATGAGAGAGCAATATGAATAATGAAAATTCAAGGTTGCTTTTTCTTTTGAACAAAAATCTAGCAAAATAAACAGATGAATTATATGCTAATGTTAAAATAAATCTTGTTGATTGAAATATTTATCAGTTCATTGTCAATGTAGGATCAAAAGAATATATTCACTTTCAATGTAACAACTGTTGATAGAAATAAGAATTCATGATAGCTCGTTTATCATTTTATTGATGAATGTAAATTAGTCACAACTTTTTATCTCTTACATATGACAATATAATTAATGTTTTCTTTATAATCGTTTGATTTGTTAGTTTATGAAAAATTTGTTATGTCTTATTAGATAGAATCAAAGCAATGATTAACACTATAGAAGATAGCTGAGAAATAGCATCAATATGATAAATACGAGTGAGTTAGTTAAATATAAACTGATATATCAAGCAATATTCTATTTAGAATTTAATAAAATAAGAACAAAAAGTCGGTGTTTATATCTTCCATTGCAGTTAGTATATGTCACACATCGATCAATGTGTTTTTGTAAATGAGTACGTATGTGAACTGTAATTATATATTAAACGAATATATTTTTGTCATCTTCTAAATCTTGACTATGAGCAGATTAATTTTATTTGTATCCGAGCGTTTTTTTTGCTGTCAACATTGCAAAAATTAAAGCATATAACTTCAGATTCTCATATTGTATTTTTAAAATAATCTATATATTCATTCATGGTTATGTATAGCCTGCAACTCATATCATATGCATAAAGTTACATTAAGGCTTGCTGGATAAAAGTGGAGACCTGTTATTTTCATCTTATGAACAAAATAATGAATATACATCAAATCATATATCTTCGCTTATGAGTGAATCTATTTAGAAAAACTTGTGCGAGTGCATGAAAAGTATACGTATCCATAGAATGTTTGTGAGTATTCAGACTAAAAAATCGTACTCGTCAGCTGAATTTTGTTATTGGGATTGACTATGTTACACTTTGAATAACGAGCAAGTTTAACTATAAACATCATGTGTACAAGTCATTCGTTATATATTTTGTTCTACTAACAAAAAAAGCTGCTAACTAAAATTTCTTTATTACATTTTCGAGGTTCATTTTTCACTACTGAACATTACAATAGTTGCACATGTTCTTGTATACTAAGTCGATATTGTTGTTGAAGTGTAAGTGCTTTTGTGTAGACTTCTTTTTACTCTCATATATATAGGTACTATTTTTATACCCTGATACTAATTTATTCATTTTTCATACAACATCTATATATATATGAATGGGTTCGAAGCAAACTAGCAACGCGGGAAACAAAACTTAATGAGTAAACCAAATACTTTAAAAACAATTCAACTATGTATTTATGTACATAATTTAAAGGATTAAACTACTAAAGAAATTTCGACAATATATTTTCAAATATTCAGTAAAGAATTTAGAAATAGATCAGTATGCACGAGAATCATTTTGTTTATATGTCCGCATATCTAAATCAAATTCGTTTCATCCGAAATTGTTGGAGAAAAAGTTTACGTATGCCTTTGCAGACGAAAAAAAAAGCAAAACATGTCACTACCATAAAGATGTATGTAAAATGAGAAATGATTTCTGTCGTCATTACTATGTCTCCATGTTTATGTTGTCGTCAAAACTACAGTCCAGTAGCACAAAAAAGATGAAAAATAATTCTGTCTCTCTTTATAAAAAAATAAAAAGGTATTTTTCTTTTTCTTTTACACTATAATAAGTGATACTGTAAAAAAGGGAACCAAACACTATTTTATGTTTGCTTGTTGTTTGTCGATGCGTCTAACAGAAAGAAGTATTTACGTATCAAATTGCAAACATGAGAATAAACTTCTACAAGAAATATACTGAGTCTTTTTTTCAGCAGTGTTCTATTATAAAATGTATACTTATCAACAATGTTCATTTTTAGATACTACGAGATTATCAAAGCAACCATTACTCTTTGTACTGAAAAATCATTTTTGGTAAGTATGCTTTGATGTTATCTCAAATTTCTGTTAAAACTATGTAATTGAAAGATGTCTTGAAGAGATTTTCTTTACAACAGAATTAACTATTCTGTATTCAAAAGAAAGACTGCTATTTCAAGAAAAAGCGTGACGTAAACATCTTCGATAAAATACGACTTGTATTGAGCGGAAGAATATACGATTAGCTGCATACTTTTCTATATTTTCTTTGTTGATTACTGAAAATATTGTTGAACACAACTGTACGTGAATCATCACTACGTGACTTGAAAGACTGTTCTCCGTCAAACTTTGGTTAGTGAGAGAGATGATTTCTATACTACTTAACATCTTGAAGGGCGGGTGTGGTTATTAAATTAACCTTACTTGGACACCCACATTCATATCCACACCCACACCTACACTAACAACCTCAAGTACTCTTCTTGAAGCACATATTGATAGAAAAATATTACAATAACTATCCCATAGATCAATTCATTAACTCTCTCAAACAAAGAAAACTTTCTCTCACTCAAAAGTATTTGTATTCTAGATCATTTCACATTATGGCTGCTAAATTCACTGATGAACCACAACATGTTCTTCGATTCTCTGATTTTACTTTGCAACCAAGCCGAATGCTTCCACCTATCCTGGGCTATGAGAAAGAGCCTCTTGTTTCTCTGGAAGAAGCTACTGACCCTCTCATTTTAATTGTTCCTGAAATTGAACGCATGGTCTGGACAGTAAAACAAAGGAATTTCGATGGAGAACATGGTTTAACTGATGATGAAGCAGCTGCGATCACACTTTACACAATGGAATGGGAACCAACAGATAACTCGTTTTATGTTATTCTTAACAAGACTTTGGAAGCAGCTAACCGAAAGTTATTGAAGCCGTGGTTTCTTTATCTTCGCCTTATTATGACATCGTTAGCCAAACTTCCATCGGATTCTAATCGTCTTACGGTGTATCGTGGGGTCAAACTTGATTTAAGTGCACAATATCCGAAAGGAAATACAGTCACTTGGTGGGGCTTTTCATCTTGCACAGCATCTGTCGATGTTTTAAGCAATGAGCAATTTCTAGGTCAAAGTGGAACAAGAACATTATTTAACATTGACTGTTCTTCTGCCAAAACTATTAAAGAATATTCACTTTTTCCCGAAGAAGAAGAAGTGCTACTTCCTGCAGCTCGCCAATTTCAAGTGATAGCTTCCCTAAATTCCGGTAATGGCCTTCATATTATACAACTCAAAGAAATCCAACCCAAATTTCCACTCATCAATCCTGTACCACAACCTACGTTACATCCAGTAATACCGCTTATACCTCAAACAATACCACTTCCAGATTCACCAATACCGCCTATGACTATACCAACACCACTTCCAGGTCCACCTATACCGCCTAGGCCTAAATCAACACCACTTCTAGATCCACCAAACCCGCTTCAGCTACCTAAATGTAATAATCCCAAATTACAGAAGTATATTGACGCAATGTATCTCGATCAAGTAATTATTACATTTAAATACAATTTCTCACCAATCTTGCCACTCTAAACCAAACTTCTGCCAATCTTAAGCCACAGTTTTGTAATTCCTTTACTTTTTACGCAGAAACTCACTTCACTCTACCTCGATTGGCAAAAAATTGATACTAAAGGAGTACAAGATCTTGCCAATGCTCTACAAATCAATAAAGTAACAACAATACTTGTTCTTTTTCTTCCCATTCACTTCATTTCACCATCCACACACTTTTCACACAGACACTCACCAAACTTCAACTCACTTGGATTGGAATCGGTGATCAAGAAGCACAACATCTTGGCAATGCTCTACAAATCAACAAAGTAACAGCAATACTTG